ATGTCGGTGGTTCTGACCAAGGTTCGAGCCACTTTCCATGGAAGGTCATTGTCTACCCTTTCCACGAGTACACAACGATGAGCTTGCCCAGGACTCCGAGGAAGACGAACCGGCACAATCGTTTCCGATCTCGGCGGAAGAACAATCTTCTTAAGGCTGTACACATTCCCTGGTAACGCCCCTTCCACGAAAAGTTCCTCTTGTCCACATTTCAAAACACCTTGCTTAACGTCGATCTCACAACAATTCTTCCTCATAAAGTCTAGGCCCAGGATGCAGTCGTCCATTATATCAGCCACGATGACATTATGCAGGTAGATCATGTTGCCTAGCTTCAACTCCATCTCCTTCTCTCCACGGACGGGTATGCGCTGACCGGTGGCTGTCACCAAATTAATGCGTTCGCGGTTGTATGCGGAGGCCCCAAGAAACTGATTTATAAGTTGGGAACTGACAACCGTGCGAGAGGCTCCAGTGTCTATGGTCAGTTTACACGGCTTTCCGTTGACCTCGCCCTTGATGATCAGGCTGTTTCCATCACGGGTTTGTGAGATCGAAATCCTTGGGGCTCTTTTAACTTCAGCCAGCACCCGCCAGTTTCCCTGCTGCTGCTGTGCGGTGCTGTCAGCCACACTACCCTCTCGATATCGATCACCTTCCCTTTTTACAGTTCGTTTAGGGCAGCTGGATCGAAGATGGCCCCTTTCCCCACAGCCGTAGCACCGAGGGCTGTAGCCCTTATTGCGGTCCTGAACTGTAGCTGCTGCAACCTCCCTGACGCGGTGGGAACGATGATCCTGCCGCACGGCTTCCACCTCCAGTGCATGGGCTAAGGCGTCCGTAAGCGTCTCGTGGTGCCCGAGCCTCACAGCAGCTCTGACTTCAAGGTCGCGGATGCCGTCGATGAATGTCTGCACCAGGTTCCCTCCAATGAGCGCAGGTACAGACTGGTACGCTTTTCGAAACCAGCTTCTCCACCTCAAGGGCCCACTGCTGCAGGTTTTCGTTACTGCGTTGCACGCGATCTTTGAGCTGTGCACGAAAGACGTGTTCCAGGTGAGCATCGCCATATCTCGCCTCCAATGCCTCAAAGAGCTGCGTAAGTCACTTCCTTACCGAGAGCTTCCTGAACAGTTAATGCCTGGTCGCGTAGGCCTAGGGTGAGAGCAGTCATGGCCTGACTTTTATTCCAGCCGTTCGCTTTCATGACAGCCTCGAACTGGATTTTGTAGGCTGACCAGGAAGAACTCCCGTCGAACGGCGGCACTTTGAATCCACGTAGCGAAGGTGTTGTAGCTACTACGGGAGCTGTAATTCCATCCCCAAGTTTGAGGTCGTCCAGCGTTTTCTTCACATCAGCCATCACGTTGTCAACCCGATTGTTCACTTGGTCGATTCGGGTTTCAGCTTCCGACAGGCGGTTGTCATGTTGAGCAACCCTATCCTTCACCTCCTTTATCTCTTTCCCGAAGGTAGCGTGTAGGTCCTTCCTGAGGAGCATCTGTTCTTCCATACCGCGCTGCAGCTGCTCTTCCAACCGACGGGTCTGTTCCTCCTGTCGGCGAGCCTGATCCTGCAGCATCATCATCAGAGCACCTAAGTCAGGTGCTACAGATGCAGGAGCTGCTGACGGGTCGGCCTCCGTGGTTAGCAGCGGGCCCTCCGACGTTTGCGGCGTTGCATTACCAAATCGTCTCTGGTCCGTCTCCTGTTGGCGTTGTCTTCGGGTACGGATACCCTCCGTGTCGTCTTTAGGTAAAATCGGCATATTTGCTCCCACTTCTGACACCAAGTGTTACGAGCTTGGGGTTCGAGACAATTAAAAACTGCCGATTGAATTACCAAAATTGACACTTTAATTACACAACACTAATTACAATCTAAAATCACACTAATAATAAAACACAATCACTTTAGTTCGCAGTTATTTCGCTTCGAATTATTCTCTTGTATCGCCAATTCAATACTGCCCCGGTCGTGGTCTATACCGGCCTTATATAGGGTCTCAGATAGTTCGAGTACATATCGGTTCGAGTACATATCGGTCCCGAAATTTCTGGAAGGATCTCGACTCTCCTAGTTCTGCTACTCGACACTAGAGGGCGCTAGTGTAACTAGTGTTGCCATGTACAAAACATTAATAGTGGCGCGCAATACTTTCATTTACTCGACACTAGGGGGCGCTAGTGTAACTAGTGTTGCCATGTACAAGACATTAATAGTGGCGCGCAACAATATGATAGTAATAAGACGGCAGTTCAACTATTTTAAGCAAAATTAAACAATAAGACAAACGCATTGTTTTTTTAACAGGAGACTTGTTTTCCAGAAATTTATTTACAACTTAAGTTTGTGAGCGATCGCAATGAGTGTATTATTTGTTACTTATTAAACAATTTTTCCATAACATGATTTAAAACCCACAAAGTAAAAATAGTACCATGTACACGTTAAAAAAAGGTTGTCAACCCCTAAAAATTTCAAATTTTCAAAATATCCAGAAACGAAGCTTCATGCATGAACTACTCGCAAAATAATGAATATTTTGTTCTTGATAAATTTTCCAAAAAAGCAATTTGAGCGAGTTATAACGATTTTTAAAAAGACACGACTCGCATGTCATACGCCACACACAAAAGTAATCGATGGCACGCCTGTCGTGTCACCCGCACTGAACCGGTTAAGAATCAAATGTGCTAACAAGGAAAGAAATAAACAGTTGTCGACGACAGAACTCGAGGAGGCAATGGAGGTATGCATTAGAAAGAGTCAAGAAGAAGAAGTTACAAGAAGAAATACAACAACTTAAGAAGACGGGATCTTTAGGTAAAAAGGGAAAAAAGTACAAATCGTTAAACTTATTTTTGGACTCAAAAGGGATAATTAGATTGGGAGGTAGATTAGAGATGTCTCAGTTGAGTTATGATTGCAAACATCCTATACTTGTACCTAAAGATTCCTTCCTCGTTAAACTTCTCATAAGCGAGGCGCATCTTAAAATGATGCATGGGGGGCCTCAAGCTATGATCGCTTACTTGAGATCTCGATATTGGGTTGTAGGGATTAAACCTTTAGTAAAGGCCTATTTTAGGAAATGCGTTACTTGCATAAGATATACAAATAAAGCCAGAAGCCAACTAATGGGACAGCTACCATCTGCTCGTGTTACACCAAATAAAGTTTTTCTGTACAGTGGCGTCGATTACGCTGGGCCGATAAACATCAGAGTGTCTAAAGGACGCGGTAATAAGTCGTACAAGGAGTATATCGCACTCTTCGTCTGTCTGTCTACGCGGGCGATTCATATCGAAGCAGTCAGTGACATGACTTCCAAGGGTTTCTTAGCCGCTTTTAAGAGATTCGTGGCGAGGCGTAGACATTGTGCAAAACTACACAGTGACAACGGCACAAATTTTGTTGGCGCTGCGCGAGAGCTGCAGGAATTGTTTGGCAAATAATGGCACAAAGTGGAACTTTATTCCTCCTCACGCTCCAACCTTTGGAGGTCTATGGTAGGCAGGAATAAAGTCCACCAAATACCATCTCAGAAGGGTTATAGGGAACTCTACATTAACGTCGAGGAACTAACTACGGTGTTGGCACAGATTGAGGCGTGCCTCAACTCGAGACCGCTTTCTTGTGTTGACCAAAATGAGTTAACGGTATTAACTCCGGGTCATTTTCTGGTTGAGGAACCACTCGTTCTTGTACCTGATTCAAATTTCGAAAAGGCTAACATTTCTAGTCTCAGACGGTGGCAACTTACCCAAAGGATGGTACAGGACTATTGGCGGCGGTGGTCACAAGATTATTTAAATCAATTTTTACAACGATATAAGTGGACTCACCAAAATCCAGAACCGGCCATAGGTTGCATAGTTCTAGTAAAAGAGGATGATTTACCTCCTGGTAAGTGGTTGCTTGGGAAGATTGAGTTAAAACATCCTGGCCCTGACGGAATCACTCGAGTCGTTACTGTTAAAACTAAAAATTCCCTCATAAAGAGACCTATTACCAAATTAGCTATTCTTCCTGAAGCATCTTAAATTTAGTGCTTCTAAGGTAAAATTTAATAATATGTATTGTTTAGGATGATGTAATAGGATGTACCTAGTTTGTAAGTATTACGAAATTGATTTTTTTTTGTTTTGTCATTTGTATACCTTGTATTATTATATTAAAATTTTGTATCAGCGCACCCCATATTACTAGACATGTTGCATGGTGGGCGGTTTAGATTAAGAGAAGGACATTATTCAATATGTCCTTGGTGGGCGGTATGTTTAATATCTTGTATGTGTAAACTGGCGTTGGGATCGAAATAGATCGCACTAGGGTTTCGTTACTAAGAAAACCATATATATGTTTTTTGATTTTTGTTGAGTCGAGATTCCTTGTGAATAAAGTTATTATAATTGAAGCAGTTGTGTGTTTCATTGTGTGTGCTCGCCTTCGGACCTTGGAAACATGAACATGGAGCAATGTCAAATATGCAAGACGTCTATGCCATCGCCTATATTGTTTTGCAAAACAAATATAGTGACAATAGGTTCAAGTCCTTCCAGATACAAGTAATGTTTATAAAACCTGAAAGATTTTCACCATTGTGTTTTTTTTATAGGATGGGGTGACAAACGAGCACACAGGCCACCTGATGGTAAGTGGTTACTGTGACCCATAGACATCTACATCTATCCTCAATAAAGACTCTAGATGCAGATGTGTTGTCACCCGTGAGGACTAAGATGGAATGCCTCTTTGCCAGTAAAAAGGGTCTCCGGTTCTCTACACTCACCATACGAAACACAGCAGCGTTAAGCTGCTATTTTACGCTGGTTTTCTGTGAGAGCGTGGTCCTTCCCCGGTCGAGCCGACCCATTCGTGCTACAACTATACTACTAATATAGCTGCAGCACGGCTCTACCACGTAAATGTGTTACAATAACATTCGAAATACGAAAAGGCTTCTCTAATAAATATTCTGTTTATGCTCTTTGCAGGTGCTGATGTCGCCGCCGAGTGCTGCTGTAAATATATTTGTCACTGTTCTGATATAAATTATTGTTTATCCTTCTAATTATATACTTAAAATAATAAATAATATATTTAAACCAACAAATGTTTTTAATTTAATCTGTTAAACGTTAGCTGGCATGTCTGAGTGAATTTAAATTCAATTATTAACAACACTCAGAAGTTATTTCAACTTTAGTACACCATCATAATAATTCTTCAATGTCTCAATTCGTAAACCGAATTAAAGATTATTGTTCAAGCCCTTAACTGCCCCGACAAAGGTCGACCGTACCAGCGCCCATGAGTGGTAGTCGCGACGGGCAACCAAGGGAGGGGCCCAATGCCCTATGGATAAATGTTCTAAAACGGCTGACAAATAAGCAAGCACAACAAAACTTACCGATTTCCGGAGGTAGGGTTGACCACAGGGTACCAATCAGGTGATAAGTGAGGTGCATGTAAGTATATAGTAGTGTGTACAATGTAACCTGACTTAACCGTTGAAGTCGGACGCTGCTTCTCTCCAAATGTGAGATCCCTCCAGGGAGGCGTTCACCAATTGAAAACTTCTGCTTTCACTGCACTGTATTAGTTTATCAACTTTATTGTACATTTAATTAACTTCAAAGTCAACCAACTCAACGTTCATCGAAATTAAAACAAGTGACACACGACACAAGTAACGAACAGTCGTACAAAGTTCAATATTCAATGTTCCGGGTTCACTTAGCACAAAATTACCAACACGGGAACGAACGCGGTCTCTTCTCGAATGACAAAGTTCAACGTTCCACACAACAAGGCAAAATTCCTTCGCACGATATTAAAATGCCACAAAGCAACTCGTCGAATCAAATTAATGTTAATCAAAGTTAAGTTAATAATTCAAACTCAATACAAGCCTCTTGTCTCGATACGTACAATTAGACGAACCAATTCGAGGCGGTCTACACGAGACCCAAATATTTAATAGTCAATTAGGCGCGCACAATTTACTCTAGATTCAACACGAAACGATCTCCTCTCGGGTCACACATTCTTAGCGTTTCAAAACTCAAAAGGGCCTCTTGTCACTTAAAGCACGAAAGACAATCAATGAGAGGCGTGTAATTTATTTATTTTACATTTATTTCAAGTGAATTATTATGATTTCGCTGTTGCAAATTGTTTTCTTCGTTTATCTATGGCAAGAGCCGGAGGGAGAGATCTATGGTCATTTCGGTCTGTCAATGTTACAAAAATGTCATTTATATTTAATTTTATTTTATACATACAATATTAAAAACAAAAGAAACTAAAACTAGTAGTTTGTGTGAGTGTAAAACTAGTAACTTCATTTAACGTAATTTAATTTGTCTGTTTGTCATTACATTTCCTTTCGCGGTTTGTGAATGTGCTCTGTTTGTGTTTATAAAACTAACAACTTTGCTTGATTCCCGGACTCCGAAGACTTCGCCTTTTTCGTTGCACTTACGCATGAAACTCTGGACCCTGATTTGCTTAACTATTTGTGCTCTGTTGACCTGGATTGTGGCTTCTTTTGAGAGAAGTTGTTGTGTACTATTATAATAAAAGGAAGCATTATAAAAAACATCCAACCGCTAAACAGTTGTTTTATTTGCCTAAATTATATTGTATACAAAGTAATTTCCAAAAGCTAAATCAATATTAAAATGGTTTGACTTTTGGAAATTACTTTGAAAATAAATAATAAATATTGTAATATAGAGCATCCTACGTCGTCGCTGGGCTGTAGGGACGTCGTATATCGCTAGATGGCGCTAATGCTACGATTCTAAGTGATGACTCTATTCCCTATATATAATGTACTCTGTGCCGTATACTGAAAAGGGTGCGGTCGCCCGATGCGACGCGCGCGCGCAACTGTCCCAGGCGGTGACCTCTAAATTCCATCGGAAGACACGCAGCGCGCGCATCTTGACGCAAGTTTTTAAAATATTACGATTTTGGCCTAAACAATTATCCTATGCGATTAACCTATTCTATATGTATATGTACTGTTTATGTTTGTGTTTATTTAACTGACAATATTTGTATGTTTTTTTGTTTAGGTCAAATATTGCAACTTAATTTTAAAACATTTATCCCCAGCCGATTGAGCTGAAATTTTGCTTACACGTTTACTTTGTATAACAATGACAATGCATGGTTAACTAAGTGACGTCATTCTAAATCCAATATGGCGGACTCCCAAAGATGGTGAACTAGTTATTTTTTATGCACACCCCTGATATTGGTAACAATTAAAAAGGGTTTGCAGAGGAATACGAAAAATAAAATAAAGTCGCTCTAAATTTCATATGGCGGATCCATTTATCATTCACCATGACATGGTAATTGCCCTCAGGTTTGGGGTTGTGAGTGGAGTTTTTGAGCGCAACCCTTTTTTCCGTTTTGACTCTCATTTGAAATTGTATGACTCGGTGATCAGATAATGTGACAAAATCAGCGTCAACCCTCCGGCTTTTTATCTTATGTAGGGTAGCCGACGTACAGCAAGTCACGTTTACTATTCTGCTATGTAACTTTCCTCCTCGGTATTGTTAAAAGGTGGAGGTCACAGCCCTGATTTAAATCATTCATATCCAGTGCAGCTATCATTTCCGATAAAAGTAGCCCTTCTTGTCCTCCGCTATGCTCCCCCACCATAGACTCCTTGCATTAAAGTCACCTGCTAGAATGACGATTTTCGTGCCCATGTCTTCTAAAATTCTTGTTATATTCCTAATATCTTCCTCTATGTTACCGTCTTTCCCTAAATATACATTTATTATACCTACTTAAAATTTTCCTATTTTAACTATAAAGTAAAGCCTACGATATTTTCGTTAACATGTTCCGGATTTTTTGTGATCAGGTAAGTTGAATCAACAACGATTACTGCCGATTTAACCGGTTTATCTCGGTTACTAGTACCTAGTCTTTTGAATTACGCGGCGATCACAGGTTACATGTGCTTTTGCACCTACTTAAATATGGTTCTTGCAGTAAAAGAAACGCAACGCGTTGTTTTCTTGTCATATGAAGACATTCTTTAAAAGCTGCCATTTCTCGGCCAAGGTTAACTTTTACTAATTTGATAGTTATTTGTGTATCTGTCGAGATACACAACTGAGAGAATTTAGTATATAATCGAAAGAGGAGTGTCTGCTTGACTGCGATTATTCGATGTTGTTGCCCTGATCAACTTCAACACTGCTACCGAGGACTTGGCTATGCGATCCCATTTCTGCCACACTGAACAGTCATTTACTGTATGCTGCATGGCTGAGATCACCTTCAATATTATTTTAGGTGCGATTTGCGCAAGTTGGTGCTACATTGCTGCGTAAATATTCTCTACTATCGTGGCCCTCTGCACAATATCCGCGGGTTAGCTTTCTGGCCTGCATTCTCGTACTCTTATGTCTAAAGCCCATACATCAGTAGCATTGCACTACTAGAAATCGGTTCAGGACGGGAACTATTGGGTACCCCACATTCAATCTTTGGTCTTTCAGTGCCTTCCAGACCTCAGGGCTTACTTCTATTATTATATTACTTCGTCTCAATACCTTAGTCTTAATCGTTTCCTTATCAATGTGTTTCAGGAGCTTCATGTTTTGGTTAACCATTGCCTCTTCTAGTTTTGTATATTGAGGTCATTGGCAACTCCTATTAATTTAAGCAGTGGATTTTTGGCTGTTGAATTTGAGACCGTTAGCTTCTTGTATGAGTTTCTAATTGCGTTTAGAAGCTAGTCCCGGTCCTTATCATTGTCGTATGATGGTAGCATCCTCTGATTTATATTGCCCTTCTTATATTATTAACACCTGCTCCTAGTTGTACCACGTCGATATGGTTTTTTATTGTGTTAATAACATCTTTGCTTGTATGTCTGGGATCCGATGATTCAACAACAAGAGCAAACCGTGGTGAAGTAAGTGCTTCTGCATAAGATTTTATTGGGTGAGTGGCTTGTTGTTCTTTTATTGCGATTTTTTTGGGACTTTCAGTGGTTTTGTTCGTTATGTTGCTGCAGTTGCAAGTCTCTAGAATCTAGATGATTAAACTTGTCTCTGATTTCTGCAATTGCCAGCTCCGTGCCCTAAATCGAGCTGTTCTAAAACACACTGGCTCACCCCGTAATCTTCTTCTAGTGTCTTCAGTTATTTTGTCTATTCTAAATAACACCGTCCCCCTCGTGCTCTCATCCAAAGTCCCGAAACTTTTCAGCTCGAGTTGCAAAACGGTTTTCAGTGCCTTGGACGGTGTGAATGATAAGCTCTCCTTACATTTAAATATTAAAAAAAAGGGCTCTCTTTACATTTAAATCCGTATAAATATTCGGAGAACCCGCCATGTCCTGTTATCGCTTGCACAATTTCAGGATCTATATCTAATTTTCTAATAATAAGGTAGGCATCTATGGCCTCGGGAAAGAATATTTTGGTATTGGAGGCTGTTTCACCTTCAATGTATCTTTGGTTCCATTCGTCAAGCGAGCTCAGACGAATCTGTCGCTTAACGAATGAAACTGGGCATTTCTCGTAATTCGGTCTAGTTTTTATTTTTAATGCGGCTTCTTTGGCTAGTTTGTCTGCCCTCTCGTTCCCCTCCAATCCTGCGTGAGCCTTAATCCAAAAGAGTTTAAGGGTTTTCCCTTGCTTTTTTATTTCGCGTATGTTTTTTCTAGTCTCTACCGCTAGGGGATGGAGGGAAACGCTTTGTACAATTGTCTGGAGAGCAGACATATTATGAGTCGCTATATATGTGACAATTAAGCGCAGGATGTGTTAGCGCGTACGTAGTTGCTTATCGAATAGCGAGCAACTCCGCCTGGAAAACGGTACAGAAATTTTCCAACTTTAATTTTCGGGTACTTGTCTCCGCTGCATCATTCCCAATGGATAAAGCAGCGCCGACTTTCCCCTCAATTTTGCTGCCGTCGGTGTATATTTTGAGGCCTTTATTGTCATGTTGGTCCATTTGTGCACCGTCCTCCAGACATATATATTGCAGGCCATATTCGTCTGCTGGGTGTGGCATCGTTGCGTATTCCACCTTTTTCTCCATGTCTCGATCCTCTACTACTCG